CACACACACACACACACACACACACACACACACACACACACACACACACACACACACACACACACGTATATATACCATACTTAAATGTTAAAATTCATCAAATTCATCTTCAAGTGTTTATGTGTGGAAAAAATGTAACGCACGCATATTATTTAACATCACTGCAATTCAGTTTTCATTAAACCTCATATATTTATCATTCTGACAGGTATTTGTTACTCATAACTTAATTTCTACTGCTCCAGAAATAAAATTAATTATCACATTTTAGCATAGTGAGATCACATAAACCATAACTTCTGTTAGTCTTCGCAATCACGTTAATGTACCATACTCGCCATTTTTCTTATCTTTCAACAAATATCAAGAAGTGCGATGCATACATCTGGGTGATTTTTATATATTATTTTGGACATTTTAGAAAGATTATGACCTTGAAAGTCAAATAAGTGTTTTTATTTTTTACAATCTAAAAGACTTGTACTACAATAAGTGCGTAAGACTTTAGAAACGCTTTTTTGCAATGAGTGTACGTACTGCCAAACACGCGCAAGCATTAATTTAAATTTACGACTCGTACATAAAATGCTCTTGCAATTCTTGCACAGATAAAACGAGTTAGATATATCAGATGACCAAGTTAAGTTATATCAATATCCTATTTGTTTCATAAACTATAGCTAACAACACGTAAAACATAATAACAACATAACAGTTTAACTCTATAACATGGTTGTTTGTAACAACAAAAGCTAATTCAATAACAAGAAACTAGTGTTACACAGTGTTAGGCCACTGCATTTCTATATTTACTTTACCCCACATGTATGATTCTAGATTTGAAGGATTCCATCCGACACTGAGGCCGAAACCAATGATTGATGTACCCATATTAGTGAAGCATGAGGGACTGTTAGCTTTTGGCTGGCAATCTATTTTACACGACGGAAACTTAATTTCGATTCGTTACTTGGTCAGCCAATCATCCGTACTGGGAAGAGTTTAAATGTGCAGCGTTGCTGGGTCCAAAATGTTTCCGATCTCTGCACGTCAGTTATTTATAGAGCAGTCAATTTTTAAGCAATAGTCACAGGTACGATGGAATCGCTCTAATACTATGTCATATGTTATCACAAATCTATTATACCATATTAACAATGCAGTAAAACTGTAATACAGAAATAGTAATGAATACAGAAATATGTACAATTTAATAATAACCGAATTTAGTAAGCAGTAGGGGTCAAGACTTTGTGTAACCGCTAATCAACGACGCGTAGCTGACCCCGTACATGTCAACCAATGAGAGAGTTAGCCATGCAGCGTAACCAACGGTCAATAGAAATGGCTCAGCTAATTGTAGCGGCCGAGGGGAACCACGTGACCCGAGCCAAGACAATAGGAAGACGTAGGTACTTAACGTGTGTTTCTTCAAATCAGACTATCTCCACTATTTGCTACCTACTGAGACAGACGTGTCTTACCCTACAGTTGATACTTTCGTATTCATCTAGACCGTGATATGTAAGTTATATTCCTACGCGTACCTTTTTGTAACCGTCGATGCTTGGCATATGGCGTCTATGGTAGTATTACCTATGTTCTATTAAAGACGTTTGTATGTTCTACATACGTATCTCAGTATTCCGTTATTTGTATATGCCTATAAGGAGTCATTTAGTAGCGATATTATACGCGAAACCTATGCGATCACGAAAGGCCATGTCACGTAATAACCAAGTATTACAAAACGCATTCGACTTGCTATCAACCGACTTGTTGCAGCGTTCGGCATCTTTAGGGGTTTAAAGATGTTTCAGTGTTTGTGCACGTTTATTATGTAACGTATCACTCTAATTCACATCGATATTTTATGTGAAAGTAACAAAGCTAAATCAACCAGATGATACATGGAGGTCTCAATAGCTTTTCCAAATAACTCGTCATATTTTATGGTCGGAGATTTTAATGTAAACAGTCCGATTAAAAGACCACCGGCATAGTTATAGCCGTATCAGTAAAAAGTGTATTCGTCGGTCTTCGAAATGTAAAACAATAGTTGACCGCTAGAAAATCTCTGGGGGCATTGTAAACTAGAGTCACTCCTCTTACTATATCAATAGTTATCTGGTTCAATAACAATGCATATCCACACGAACGACTAATCTAGATTACGAGAGTAGATAGTCATTAATTAACCGCGTCTACACTGTGCGTTAAAGCAATGAGAACTGGAATGGAACAGCTCAATGGACCAACAGACCTGTTTGGTCCAATCGGACCAACCGACCAATGGAATATAATTTAAATTGAAGAAATCGGAAGGGAAACAACGGCTAAAATCACAAAGGCAATACCCTCGTGTGGATGTAGCTAAAATTAGGCTAAATTACCTACGCGCAAGCATTGCTAGTTGCTTCTAATGCAAGACCGAGATTTGCAAGAGACCACAACATGTCATCCGAACTGGATGGTAGGCCACATTTTAGAGAAATATTGACGCAAACAACGAGATGTGCTTTAGGTAAAGCTGGCCCTGACACGTCGGCCTCCTAGCTCTTGCACTGGTCTCCAGTTGTCCACCATCATGTCACATGCGTTTGTTTTCTCAGCCGAGTTCCAGTGCAATGATCTAAATGCGTTAAGCTGAAACAACCGAAAACGCTATATGCAATGAAGACTTAATACTACTAAACGAATCACGCGCACGCACGCACGCACGCGCGCACACGATCGCAATGTCTTGACAGGATAACACGTGTCATACAACACGACTATACAATCATATATCAATCAATAAATATCAACGATATACAATAATCGATCAATCAATAAATAAGCTGTTTTACCTGCGGCGCGGAGATCGGTAGTGTGTTTTTGAACACAAGCCAGCTCACAGCCTCGGAGCAAGGAGGCGTGGTCAACGACCCGTTATACGTCCAGTATTGCTTCAAATCTATCGAAACAGTACAAAACGGATTCGGATTACTAACAGTGAGTTCGTAATAGGTTCGCCACGACTGAGATTTGTGTTTTTGCATCAGGGAGTTTATGCAGTAATGAATTCTCTCGTGAAAATCGCGTAAAACAAAAGTCAACTGAACGTCAGCAAACGGCGAGCACGTGGTGAATTACTAAGCATTCTTTTTAAAATATTCTTATTACTAAACAAACACTCTATGCAAAGTCATCGACTTTACTCGTGTAATTATAATTAAAATTGTAATGATAATTTACGATTATCGTGAGGGCTAATGCCTGCTACAATTAACATATTATTATTATATATTATTTATTATATTATATAATTTATATATTAATTAATTATATATTAATATTATTTATTTAATTTATATATTTATTTATATTATTATATTATTATGTTATCTGCTACAATTAACATACCATCTGGCATGAGCCAACCAGGACTGAACAGTCCGATAGAATGGCTATCGCCTTTGAAAGGAATCTTTGCGAGGGCATCCGTCACGGTTTTCATTTTAGAGTGTTCCTCGTCGCCCCCTTTTACCTGTTTGTAACATCATATAATTAGGCAATAACCAGAAAAAAACAGTGGAATCATTAGAGCACGATAAACCGACCTTTGTTTATCGTACCGTTCTAGCGAATATTTTTTAACAAATGCTGTGATTCGGATTTTTAAGGTCAACCCCTACCCCTCCAAACTCATTCTGGTATTTCGCGCTTCACTTATGCAAATAATCTCTCTAACTTTTAGGCGAGCATGCATGAGCCATTCGTCAAGCACGCGTGTGTGCTTTCATCGGGTTTCGCCACAACATGGCGGCCAGATTTCACTTGGTAGATTATATGTCAGCGTCATGCATTTTTAACCACTATATATGTACAGAATGTGCGTATACGTGCTCGTCTGGTATTCTTGTAATTTTAATAATGGAACGTAAATCAACGGAACCATGCCTTATCGATCCGCCTATCTAACAGAACACTATCGAGCGGCGTAAGTGAGTGCGGCATATCTCACACCAACCAAGCTGGTCAATACAAAAAATTCGACATATGCTCGTTCACCGAAACGACAGCGTGCGCTGCTATTGCAATCAAAATTACAAATACAAGACATAATACGAGGAAGAATGTTTGTTCGAACTGCACTCGAATGAACAACAAATATGCGAGCGCGGAAATGTTTGCTCTCAAAACAACTCGGCTATAGAAATCGAATTCAGAATGAAATTTTATACACGGAACGTGTTTGCTTTGGAAAGAAATGGTTTATTCTACAAATTTACCAACAACCGTTAGAGAGCGCCATGTAGCAAACGCCTCCGCTAACGCACTGCGGGAATCACGTAGCGTGGGTATATTGAGTGTGCTTATCTGCTAGATCATATCCATTGGCCATTAAAAAGCAACGTTATGAAAAATCGAAGGCAAGAAATTAGCCCATCAGTGCTTAAGCTAAAGTCACACCAAGCTCCCGGACCGGGCCGGACGCTGCCGGACTGATCCGGGGAGAGATCCTTGTTGGGTCCTGGACGGTCCTGGACGGTCCGGCCCGGTCCGGGGTGGTCCTTGATGGTCCGGCGCATTCCGGGATATCGCCCCGGATGTTTTAAACTGTTTAAAATTGCCGGGTTGATCCGGGACGGTCCGGGAAGTTTTCACCATCCGGGGTGGTCCTGGACGGTCCGTGGCGCGTCCGTGGTAGGTCCGGGACAGTCCGTGGTAGGTCCGGGACAGTCCGTAGTGGCACCGTGTTGAACCGGGCCCATCCGTGGCCATCCGTGTCGTTTTTGTCGGCCACGGATCACTACGGATCAAGCCGGACCCAACACGGATGGGAGCACGGATGGGCCAGGACGGGGCCGGACCAGGCCGGATCAGGTCCGTGGCGGTCCGTGGCAGTCCGGGGCGGTCCGGGGCGGTCCGTAGTGACTCCGTGCTGGGGCCGGCTTCATCCGGGCTCAATCCAGGATGATCCGTGGCGCTGCCGTGCTGGTCCGGCCCGATCCGGCCCGATGATGCTTTTTTTCACCCGGATCGCCACGGATTATAAATTTTACGGTCCGGGGAGATCCTGCCCCATCCGCGGTAATCCGTGGACAGTCCGGCCCCAGTGTGACTTTAGCTTTAGCGCACGCAATCACGCATGCACGCAAAACCCAGACGCGTAACGCGGTACGCCGTCCTCTGCCCATTAAAATCCATATTCGCGCATTACATGTCAATTATCTGATACGGAATACCAGCTGTGACTATATAGGCCGATTAATTAAGGTTAGGCCCTACCTGGCAGGAGGCAGGCGTCCACGGGGAACGGGCGTGGCATGCACATATAGCAGGAGTGTATAATATTGACTATATATTATATACTCCTGCATATGGGTCAGAAGTAGATAATAGGGACTATTACCTACTTCTGATATGGGAACCATCGGACAATTAATAGCTTTGGATGATAGAAAACGAATGCGTATGATGGAAGTTTGTCGGACCAGCTTTGATAACACTGCAGCTTTTGTATTTCGAAGTTTTTTTTGAGTTGCGATTCATCAACACAGCTATTTAGTAAATTTTCGTACGATTTCGCGTACGCAAGCAAGGTCGTTTTAGGTGCGATTCATCAAGCTAAAATTAACGTAAACGTTTGCGTAACTCTACACGAGCTGACGAGGTGCCGTAAACCACTCGAAATTTCCGCAGGTGTTTCCAGCATACCGCAGCATGCATTATTTTATTGAGGAAACATAAAATTACTACTCAACTATAAATAAATAAATAATTACCATACTACACAGACAGGCGGCGCCTTTGACGCTTCTTTTGTCATAGCTTGGCATTGTTTTCGTTATAAGCGAGTTCATAGTTAGCCGTGTACGTGCACACGCACGCACGTGTACGTGCACACGCATGCACGTGTATACGTGCACACGCACGCACGTGTACGTGCACACGCACGCACTCGTACGTGCACACGCACGCACGCACAGTGCACAAGCACGCACGCACGCACGCACGAGTACGTGCACACGCACGTATATCGCAGGCCGGGGTAGACACAATTCATATTTAATGTCCACATTAATTCGTATTGGACGCCGGGGTGGACACAATTCATATTTAATGTCCACATTAATTCGTATTGGACGCCGGGGTGGACACAATTCATATTTAATGTCCACATTAATTCGTATTTAATGTCCACACTAAATCAACCAATCGCAGCTAAGTTTTTAATGTGGATATTAAATCACAAAACATCGCTTCCGTCCTAAAATCCGTCTTAGCCAATGAGAACCATGGATTTTAGGACGGAAGCGATGGAATTCTCACTTCCGTCCAGAATTCCATCGCTTCCGTCCTAAAATCCACGGCTCTCATTGGCTAAGACGGATTTTAGGACGGAAGCGATGTTTTGTGATTTAATATCCACATTAAAAAATTAGCGGCGATTGGTTGATTTAGTGTGTACATTAAATACAGTTTTTGCATTTCCTATTTAATGTCCATATTAAATCACGAATTTATGTCCACATAAAATCGACCAATTACGGATAAGGACTTTCGGACGGAAGTGAGAATTCCATCGCTTCCGTCCTAAAGTCCACGGCTCTCATTGGCTAAGACGGATTTTAGGACGGAAGCGAAATACGAATGAATGTGGACATTAAATATGAATTGTGTCCACCCCGGCCTGCGATACACGTACGTGTACGTGCACACACACGCACGCACGTGCACATGCACGCACTCACGCACGTGTACGTGCACACGCACGCACGCGCGCCCGTGTACGTACACACGAACGCACGCACGCACGTGTACGTGCACACACACGCACGCACACGTGCACATGCACGCACGCACGCACGTGTACGTGCACACGCACGCACGCACGTGTACGTGCACACACACGCACGCACACGTGCACATGCACGCACGCACGCACGCACGTGTACGTGCACACGCACGCACGCACGTGTACGTACACACGCACGCACGTGTACGTGACACGCACGCACACACGCACGCACGCACGTGTACGTACACACGCACGCACGCACGTGTACGTACACACGCACGCACGCACGTGTAC